TCCCTGCCCCTGTCCCTGCCCCAGCCCCTGTCCCAGCCCCGGCCCCTGTCCCGCTCCAGCCAGGGTTTCTCCCGGGACTGCCGACAACCTTCCCCAAAACACACCACTTCTCGCCGGCTGTAAATCAAGAGGTTTGAGGGCAAAGCGTTGATTGGGACACAAGGAACAGATCAGAGGTGGGCAGCTGTCTGCCCGCTCCAGCCGTCTGTCACCGGTGGAGCTCAGTCCCCACGCCAACGGCCAAGCGTCAGGCGCCTTCTGTGGGTGTCCAAGAGACGTTGGACAGGTCAGGATCTGTCCCCTCTCTGCAGAGCAGGCACAAACCTACATGGTAGGGAGGCATGGTGGGATTTTTTTTGCTAACAAAACTGAGTGCTTTGAAATTTAAGAGTCAGGTCTCAGGCGTCATTTTACTGGGAGGAGTTTCATCGTCACCAGCAGGCGTGTCTGAGTCAGACATCTCATACAATAGTGAAGAAATTAAAGTTATTTTCAATCTATTCCTCTAAGAAAAGTGAGTAGACATTTACAATTTCCAAAAATACAGACCCTTAAACTGCAACAATTCAGGACTCAACAAGCAGAAGTGATGTGCTGGGGTTCAAACAACGGGTTAAACTGGGCACAGAACGTTTCAGGATATTATCCAACTTACCCTAAAGGCAGTTCCTTCCTCTATAATGGTAGGTAACTGGGAAAGGCAAATGTCAACCGCAAGGTCCCATGCTTGCCTAGGGAAGAAGGTGAAAGAGGAAAGAGAAGCTATTACAAGTTATCCACACGTAAAGTCAAGGTGAATTTAAATTCGGATCACACAAGTAGGTGGACAAAGCCGTGTTGTGCGACCGCCTTAGAAATGGTTAATACTCCCTTTTTTTAAAAGACAAGTCTAACACCTGAGAACCACCCAGCCCAACAGCGAGAAAGTCCAGCCCAGCAGCGTCTCGGGCTGACCAACAAAACGTGAGCGAGGTAAGAAGAGCCCCAGCTGCGGCTCCCAGAAACCGCTCCTCTCTGTAATGCAGAAAGAAGCCAGAGTCAATCGAGGTCTTATTCCATACCTGTCCTCATGCAAAAATGGATGACATCTTTTTTTTTAAACTAGAAAAATGAACTCAACCCTGGATTAGCTCCAGCCCATGATCCTTCAGCACACACCTCTGTGTCCACCCCAGCCCTCGCCGGCTCCGCGTTCCCGTCACATCCGAACTGACGAGCCCCTCGGCTCCCAGCCCAGGGATGCTCTGCGCCAGGACACCAATGCTCCTTTTCCGCATCCTCAACACAGACACTGTGTCACCGCACCGCTGAGGAAAGTCACTCGGTCTCCATCACTCTAATCCTGAGCTGGGTTTTGCATGGCAGCCTTGTTCACAAAGGCTGGCTCTACACCACTCACCCTCAGGATGGCACAGTTACTTTTTACCCAATAAACGATTACCCCTGCTCTGTCCATAGCCGTTCCCTGCACTTTTCATTTTAACATCTGAACTTACGCACTCCGAAAGGCTACTGAGTTAAACCACCACCCGTGGGGTTTCCTACACAAACTCCTCCACCCTCCAGACACATTTGCTCTTCCACGGCTCGTGGCCATCGTCTGTTAACAGCAACAGGCGAAGCAGCTTTTCTTCTCCTAGGAGCGTTTGCAGGCACCAGGCCATAGGTGATAATCAATACAGTGTGTTTGAGTTACCTGCTCTAGTAAGTTCTTAAATCACCCTGGTTTGAGTCAAACACAGTCTCCCACCAGAACAACTGCCGAGCGAGATCTATGCCATGAGCCAAACTGGCAGCTGTCCTCAGCCGAAACCAATCTCTCCAATTAGACAGAAAAATAACCTAGAAGGCTCTGGCATTCTTTGTGTGGATTCAAGAGATGCAGCTTGCTTTAGCTGCCCCACACCTCGTCCCTCTGCTTCACAGCATTCACCTTCCGCTTGGTAATGTGCGGCCAAGATAATTAAGAGGTAAACAAGAGATAATGAAAGCACGGGCAACAAATGCCTCCCACATGCTCAATAAAGACCCCTGTTGGAGACAAAAATGTTTACACAGAGCTGATGAGAGAGAGATTTATTCTTGGTTGAGGCAGAAGCAAAGTCAATCAGTACAAATATAAAGGTAATTTAACTTCAGGCGAAGAATGAGTATTTCTGACTTTCGGGTTTCTCAGAGGAAGGGGCAATACCACCTAAAGAAATCCTCTCACACATTAGGAAATGTCAATAACTAGTGCCTTCCTTTGAGGTCAGTTTTACTACACAAGAGAAAAATGGTTTAGAGATGGGAGACAACTGGTCTCATCTCGTCTGCCTAGAAAAGGACTCTGCGGGGGGCACCATCCTGCAGAGGCACCGGGCTCAGGTGCTGAGCTCCCCAAAGAAGCACTCATCCCACCGCACAAGGGTCCAAAGCAGCCCCGCCAGGTCCAGACTCAAAGGTTTTACGTGTGATCAGAAAGAACAAAGAAACATCTAAACAGAGACTTTAGTAGAGTAAAATCTCTTCTTACGCTTCTGAAAACAGGCCGTTAGAAACCAGCGCGGCCCCACAGCCAGTGCTGCTCCACCCTGCAGAAGAGGAGCCACCAGTATGAAACCCCAACACCAGTGCTCACCGCAGCCTGGAGAGCTGCGGGTTCACAGCAGCCGCTACGAGCCTCTCACCAATCCAGACGCCTAAAATGAGCCTCCAGCCTTCCCAAACCCGCCCAGCGCACCCGTGCTGCTCTGCGCAGGGGACACCAACCCTCCCCACCTGCGACACGCGGGACCAAAAAGGTTTTGCCCAAAGTAAACCTCATCAGGCTCTTTCCAACCCCTGGAAGAGCTCCAGGGGACGCGCACGGCTTCAGGTGACACGACTCCTGGGTGAGCTGTCAGATAGCGAACCCATCGCGCTGGCAACACAGACACTGAGCAGGCATTACGGCAACGAAAAGACTCAGAACAAGCCACAAAGGAATGGTGACGGACTAACGCCACGGGGCGCGTGAAGAGGAACAGAAGGGGAAGAACCCTTCCTACAGCCAGGGTGAAAATAACGGCTGGCGGGGGGGGGGGGGGGGGGGGGGGGGT